ACTGTGAAATCTGCACGGTCCCTGAGTTGCAGTCAAAGGAGAGTGGTGAGAGATTTCTTGCCAGAACAGCGGTAAATACTGCCTATCAAGAACTCATTATGGAGCAGGCGCTGAATATACATGATTGAAGACTCACAGAAGCATCTCTTGTGGAAGATATTATATTCCCTTTGTAGAGAGGAGAAGCTGGCTCTTTCAGAAGCTAAGTCACTCTTGGTCACCAACCCATAAATGATGACATTCATATTCTCTCAGAATGCTGCTGATGTGATACCCATTCACCCTCCTGGCCACTTAGTAGTTTCACACAGGGGACAGCAAGAAAAAGACCTGGTCGTGTTTAGAGATATACCAATTATTTTGAAAATGATGAGAATAGAAATGAGACTAAATGGGTCATCCAGAATTTTTATACTTTGTAATTTTTAAAGCTGTTCTATGGCAGGTGGGGCAATATTTCTCCTTCTATTTTTAGACTGGACAGTAACTTTAAATAGACTGTGTGGTTAATAATTGACATTTTAGCTTGTTTTGATTTCTTTCTGGTATGGTAACAAATTTTAAAATTCTCCATTGTTTTTGAAAAACAGATTAATTTGGGTTTTTGAACCAGAAGTCATATTATTATTACTGCTATTATTTGCCCCCAATTAAAAACACACAGAGAGATATTTGCTAATTTGGTTCTTGCACTTGCATCCTGTTGGAGAGAGGTGGCTGATGTGTTTTTCATATGATGAGATATCAAGGTGCAGATCAAAGTCACTTGGTGACTTCCTTAAGGTCACACAGGTGACCCAAAATAAAGTCAAAACTCAACTTCCATCTTCATTTTCAAAACCGTTCCTTACCATCAACATATCTTTTATCTTTACTAAAAAAAAGTGTATTTCATGTAGCTATTTATTAGAATTTAAAGACTGGGAAGCTGAGGGTGTGTACAAGTTATTTCTGAAATTCTAGTATGAAAATGATTCTTAATATAAATTATAGTGGCATTACATGATTGCTAGAGCTAAAAGCTATGAGATTTTCTTGTGTTTAAATTTTTGAAT